TTTAGGGGTTAGAGCAAGAGGCCAGCAGCCAGAACTCCTGAGTTTTCATTCCTGGCTGTGACACTGCTTTGCTGTTTGACCCTTTGCCAAGTCACTTAACTTCTTATTCCCCCATTTATACAAGGAGGATTTTTTTTATACCTCTCCCATAGAACTGGAAGGGACCCTGAAAGGTCATCAAGTCCAGCCCCCTGCCTTCACCAGCAGGACTAAGTACTAATTCTGCCCCAGATCCCTAAGTGGCCCTCTCAAGGATTGAACTCACAACCCTGGGTTTAGCAGACCAATGCTCAAACCACTGAGCTATCCCTCACCCACATCATAATAACCATGATCTCAGAGAGCTTCTCAAACATTCATTAACTGAGCCTTCCAAGATCTTTGCAAGGAAGGTTAAGGGGTGAAAACTGCTACCTCTCCTCCTGGTGAGGGATAGACATTGGGCATCCATGCTTAGGCTGTGGGAGCGATCAGCTGCCTTCACGAGGTGTTGGCTCCCCTGCGAGCTGCAATGGGAGCAGATGGGGTTCCCCTCGGCGGGTTCATTCTTCCTGCACAAATCTGGGAGCCATTGCTCTTGTGCGTGGAGCTTTTCTCCAGGCACCTCCCAGGTTCAGTGTGTCTAGGGAGCTGTTGGGAGGAGGAGGCATGGACTCTACTTCATCCGACCCAGCCAGTGCCGTCAATGACCTTCCCCAGTGCTTGAGGCGTGGATGTCAACTAGCTCGCTGAAGGCCCATTGGATAAAAGCGCGATGGTGCTGGTAGGCTGGGGGAACTAACCAGAAGTCGTCATGAAGGTGACATCGGCACGTTTGATTGAAGGGGTGTGTCCATCATTTGGCATGAGATTTCACAGCGGGGGGGGGCAGGGCACTGCCACACTGCCAGCTGGTGTCACATGATCACATGGCAGCTGCATCTTGCCTGAAACCTGCAGTCTGGTTCTTTTGCATGGGCCCCTTGCCAATGTGGTCGGTAGCTTTGCCATCTGCTGCCAGGCTCTCGAGGCAGGGCTGCTCGTGCCGAGTGCTTGTTAGGTGGTGAAATGACACCAGTGCTCGGTCTGAAGCAGCCGGAATCTGGTGACCGTCCGAGTATGTTGCAAGGCCCATCGACTTGCCCGGGCATTTGAGCAGGAAGGGGCGCGATGGGACAGGATATGGCGTGTCTGCAGGCCTGGTAGGAGATGGTTGATTCGATCTCTGTGGCTGGTCATGTAATGATGGTTCAGATGACAGTGACACCTAGAGGTCCCAATCAGGGATCAGAACTGCGTTGTGCTAGGTGTTGTACACACCCATCCCGGCCCTGAAGAACGTACAAGCTTACTACAGCGTTAATGAGTGACAATATGCAAATACAATGAACAGCCGGGGGCCAGGGGGTCGGGGGGGGAGAGGAAAACCACAATGAGACTATGTGCAGTGCTGATGTTATTTTAGTGCATTTTTTTAACATTATGTCAAAGGGGCCGAGAGCTTGGGAGAGGCAGGCCCTTTCTCCTTGTTGCGAAGGGTGAAATCTTGACTCCACTGCAATCAATAGCAAAACGTCCACTGACTTCAGTGGGGCCAGGATCTCACCCTATAAATCCAAAGGGGGAACACAACTGTTTCGTGAGCGCACACCTGGTTTCAAGCTAAGCGCCCGTATCCAGCCTGGCAATCCCAGCAGAGAAAGGGAAAGAAATGCTCCTACTAAATGTAACTGCCTGGCCTCGGCCACGTGGCTCTAAGCAGCTTGGCCCCACAGAAAGCACCTTGTCACAGCCTGACGGGCTGGAGCAGCTGTGATGGGAACAGTTCCTAGGCCTATTAATCATCCCCACAAAGCCAGTTCCTTTCTGAACTCTGAGCCTCCCCTCCCCTCCGCCGAGTGACCCAACGCAGGAATGCTCCCTGGGCATCATGGGATATCCTAGGGGAAGCGTTTGTGCATTGGCACTCTCTCCCGAGAGCTTATGTTCTGCATCATGCGGTTCTCTCCTAAGCCTCAGGGCTATTTTTTTCCTGGCTCCTGTGCACCGTGGCTCCGAGGCCATTCCCTGAAAAGCAGAGACTTTCTGACTTGGGTTAGACCAAAGGGTTTTCTTTTACAAAGAAATAAATCAAAGCTGTAGCTGAACAAGCAGCAGAAAAACCACCCTGCAAGGAGCAGCCTTTCGTGCCTGCCAGTCCCTGTATTCTTGGTGTCGCTGCATCGGCGTCAAATCTGTCTGCTTCATTTTTCTCTGGGAGCTGGAGGACTTTTGCTGGTCTCCCACTAAGGAGCTAGGACCTCAGGGGAGAGAATCCGCCCATCTATTCACTGAGAGAGGAGGTAGGGGATGGAAGATGCAAAGCCGCTGGCACTATGTTAACACTCGTTGTTCGTGTACTGTCCCTCATCTCGGCTATCTATTTATACGGCCCCGTGGTATAGGAGCACCTCCCAGTCTTTAACATTTATTCTCACCCCACCTCTCTGAAGTAGGCCAGTGCTGTTCTTCTCACTGTACAGACGGGGAACTGAGAGATGGGAGTCTTGTCTACACTAGCACTTTTGTTGGTAAAACTTTTGTCGGTCAGGGTGTGAAAAAACACACCCCTGACCAACATACGTTTCATGGACAAAAGCGCTGGTGTGACAGTGCTACGTCGGTGGGAGACGCTCTCCTGCCGACATAGCTACTGCCACTTGTTTCGGGTGGTTTAATTATGCCGGAAGGAGAGCTCTCCTCCATCGGCAAAGAGCGGCTACATGGGAGACCTTACGGCGGTGCAGCTGCAGTGGTATAGCCGTGCCACTGTAAGGTCTGTAGTGTAGACATAGTCTAAGTGACTTGCCCAAGGTCACGCAGAATGCCTGTGGCAGGACAGGAGTTTGAACCCGGGACAGCCAAGTTCCAGGCAGGCACCCCAAATACTGGACCATCCTTTCCCGCCTCTGTTAGGCCAGCTGTTGCTCCTTAGCTTAGATTAGTTTGAGCTCTTCGGGGCAGGAATTGTCCTGCTCTATATTTGTACAGCACCTAGCACAATGAGACCCTGATCCTCTACATGCTACTCTATTAGAAACAAAGATTAAAAATAATGCTCCCTTATCCAAAACCCCCCATCCTTCCGGGCCGTTTTTATGCCTCACGAAGACTAAAAAGGGCACATGCCCAATTTCTGCTCCTTGCACTGGTCCCTTTTAGCACTAACAGTAGCCAGCTGAGCTTCTCAAGCAGCTCACTTCTAGACCAACACAATCTGGACACAAACATCTAATCCAACTCCATGCTGCTGCAAGATCATCCCTGCTCTGCAGATGTCTCTTCCATGGGCTCCTTGATTAACTTTGTCATCATTAATATTGCACGGCAGCCCCAGCAGAGGTGGTTTATCCTGGTAATCTCCATAGGTCCCCTCCTCTGATTCAGAGACAAGGGCAACCACAGGCTACGTGAGAGATTTCTCCAAGGCCATTCGTGAATGCTCCGGGGTCTCCACCTTGGCCACTTCTGTATCCTGGCTGCAGATGGCTGCCTATAGCAGAGACTGAGTGACTTCTTAAAGCCATTGCATTCCCCAGGTCTGTGGGTACAAGTCATGGCTTGGGAGCAGTTTATGAATATGAAGCTGGATATCAGCCGCTGAACATCCTACCAGGTCACCTCCAGATGTAGGTAGCTGTTCAAAGTCCTTTCCCTACAGAGTTCATTCAAAGGTCCCTGAGGGCAGCTGGGTCTGGGAATACACATTTTGTTCCAAGTGGTTAATGAAGATCAGCGTAACAAAGTGCCGTGTGACCCTGTCCAGGGTTATTCCGATGCGGCCCCTGCAAAGTTGAACACGTGCCTGTCTGGTGAAATCTGTCTGCACGAAGAGACATCTAACATCAAACGCTGCAGGCCAATCCCTGGAGTCCAGAGCCCCTCTGAAAAGCAGAACGTCAGCCATTGTCTGCGGAGGCAGGGCCTGGGCTGGAGCATCCTTGACTCCTCTGAGCCGCGGCACTCGCTGCTGGGATGGACTGCCTCCTCCGGTCCCTAGGCAAGGGGGCTACAGCCACACTCATCCCGCTGGACTTCTCTGCAGCGTGCGATACTGCTGGTCCCCGAGTACCATCCCGCCTCCATGAGCCTGTGGTGGGGAACGGCTCAGCTTGTTACCGAACTTAGAGGGCCATTCTGGGCCCCTCTTGCTCCAATCCCAGAGCTGTCACCTGCGGAGTCCGGCAAAGTTCACGCCTCTTCCCCAGGGTATCCAACCTCTGGGCAGAGCCGCTGGGGGAGCAGTGAGGTGTTAGCAGCATGCAGACCACTCCAGCTCTGCGCCTCCTTTACACCCACTGGGAGCAGCACTATCTCCCTGCTTTCTCAGGGCCTGCATGAAGGTTGAGTGGCTAACGCTAACCCCAGATAAGACAGACAGGATGTTGGCACAGGTCGCAGTGAGCACAGCACCCCAGCGCTCTGCTCTCCCCGTAGGCTCCCACCGAACACAGAGGCCAGTTCAGGGTCTCTGCCTTGACAGTCAAAGTCCTCCATGGAACTGGTCCTTGCTACCTAAGACATCACCGCCCCCACGATGGCTATGGGCCACATTCCAGCCATGCAGCCCCAGTGACATCCTCAGCTGTACGTGAAGGCAGGATTTGGCCCTGTGCTCGCTACTGCAGCACAATGATACAGACATTGACAATCGCAGTCTAGCGAGCGGCCTGCCCAGCTTCTCTTGAGGCAGGAGCATTTGCAAAGGGAAAGAGAGCAGATAGTACCATACTCACTACCCTGCTTTCGGAGCCATAGCTATGCGCAGCACTGCCCTCTAGTGGATAAATACCTGCATATGATAAAAGCCCCACTACTACTGATGGCTAAAGAGCTGTATTTGGAATGGGTCTTGTGTCCCAGCCTCAATGTCCCATGTGGGACACAGGTTCCAATCTCTGCATGCAGTCCATGGGTTTGTGCGATCGATCCCCCGCTCCCCTCCCCTGGGGCGTTCTGCACGGGCCTCGGCGGCACGATACCTGCATCAGGGTGCGGAGGGACTCCACGTAGGACTGCTCTGTATCCAGGAGCGTCATGGTGACATGTTTCCGCATGTCCTGCAGGGAAGGAAAGAGAGATGGTGAGAACCCAAGTGATGGCAAACACTCTGCAAGCAACGTGGAACTTGGAGGGCCACGGCCGAACCAGCCCATGGGAGCCTTTGTCACAGGCGCCTGTCCAGGAGAACTCCCTCCATGTTATTCTTTTTCAGTCCCAGGCTTGCAGTCAGAGACAGCGAGAGAGAAAAGGCCTGAGTGTCAGCATGCTGGGGGCACACAAAGGCCCCCGAACCCACAGAAGGCCAGGTCCTCTGGCACATCACATGCACACAGGACGTTTGGTTTATGGGCGAGAGGACGGCACCAAAACCCACCATTTTGGGCTTCATCTGGGCAGTGCAGCCTCGGCCACTGAACACAGACTGTCTGGCTCAGCTCTTACCAACAGAAATATGGTGTCAGCACAAAGACCCAGCTGCCTCAAACCCCAGGGCGACCCCCGGAGAAACCCGGTGATGGCAAATGTCCCTCCCCTTCAAGCAGTCTTTTCCACAACCACCTAGTCACCATGGAAGCTCCCCCTTTACCCAGGAACCTCCCCTTGCAGGCTTGTCTCATCACTGGACCTTTAAATGCAGAAGAGAAGCAGCCTACCAGCTCCCTACCAGCTGGTGACTATGCCCATTAGGCCTGATCAGGAGTACAGGACCTGCCAGACTGGATCAGACCCGGGGTCCCTCTAGCCAGGGGCCCATCTCTGACCGTGACTAGCACCAGCTTCAGTGGAAGAAGCCCTGTCTCAGGCAATGGTGGGGTACCCTGCCCCACAGAAAGCTTCCTCCAAGCATGGGGGTTGATCTTCCTTCCACAACTCTTGCTTGTTGTATTGTTTTCTCCACTGCCTGACGCCTTGTGCAGCCACGTGCACTGGTGCCATGTCAGTGTGAAATGCTGCCATTGGCCATGAGGAAACAAGGTACAAAGCTGAGGACAATCACTCCCTCTGCTTTCCCTTTCTCTAATCAACTTGGGGGGAGACACAGCCTTACACTCGGGACAGCTCACCCTGTCCAGGATCAGCTGGAAAGAGAAGAAGGTGAGGGCGGCCCTGAGGCCCTGTCCACGTGCACACTTGCACTGCTTTAGCTGAACTGGTTTATAGTTGAGCCAGTGTAAAACCTTGTGGAGATCGTCGGATTTTGGTTTAAGAGGGGCTTATTTCAGTTTATCTTAAACTTCTTCCTAATTGACTTAAGCTACAGCAAAATAAGCCAGGTCTAAACCGAAATAATGAGAGTTAGCGCTTCACTTCTACAGCACCCCTCCACCTGGAATCCCAAAGCGTTTCATGCGCATTAATTAATTAATTCTCAGGTTTTGGTTACACATAAACTTGCACTGGTTTAATTAAACTGGGTTAGTTGAACCAGTGCAACCCTCTGTGTGAACGCTCTGATTTCAGTTGAAGAGGGGCTCCTGGTTTAGCTCAAACCTGTTCCTAATCGCCTTAAACTAAACGGATGTAAAAATGTCTACATGGGTTTGCACCGGTTTAAATTCACACCTTTTGTTAAATAAACCAGAGCAATTCCCCATGTAGACAATCCCTCCCACGCTCCCAGGAGGTAGGAATGTTTATCACCATCATGTTAAAGTGAGTCGCTCAAGGTTTCATAGTGAGTCAATGCAAGCGCTAAAGGAGACAGGAGGAGTCCAGATTCCTTTACTCTCAGCACTAAACTACTCTCCCTCTCCTTCAAGCAAAATCCTACTCAAGTAGGTTGTTTTATAGACCAAACTTTGTACTTTTAATGGCGCTGTCAGCCCCTTCCTGGTATATTTACTCAGCCTTTCCATTTCTTGGTTTCCCCCTAAAAACCTGCATGCATTGTAACCAACCCAGCTAGCTATAAAATCACAACCATGTGCTGCAGTATGTTACAGAAGAGAAAAGAGAACTAAGGAATCCAGATGTCAGACATACTAAAGAATAAACCGCCGAGAAATCAGAGCACATCTCTTTAAGCACTGCCTGCTCGCTACTCTAGTGGACAGATCAAGACCCCAAAAGCCATTTCTTCTGTGATGTGCCCTCACTCCCACCCCATGCACACACACACTAACCCACGTTGCATGTGTTATCCACCTTAGCAATGAAGTACAGGGGAGAAGAGCGAGACCAGGAAACCCAAATGACAGTCCCTAAGCTTCCCCTCGTACAAGATCATCTTATCTTACCTGGTTTTCTCTCTTAGAGCCCAAACCTCAAAACACTTATTCAAGGTAGAAGTGGTTACAACGTTGTTATTATCACTTTTCTAACCTGTTATTACTGCACTGTACTAAGTGCTACCCTAGGTATTATGCATTTTGGGCCCATAATTTCTAAGCAACTCTGTTTATATTTGGGTCCCATTTAGCGCAAAACACACTGTTGACAGATAACAGCTAATGATTAAAAATATCAATTATAATAAAGACAAAATATAATAAATACAAATGAAGGGGGGGTTCCAAAGAGGATGGAGCTCGGCTGTTCTCAGTGGTGGCAGATGACAGAACAAGAAGCAATGGTCTCAAGTTGCAGTGGGAGAGGTCTAGGTTGGATATTAGGAAACACTATTTCACTAGGAGGGTCGTGAAACACTGGAATGGGTTACCTAGGGAGGTGGTGGAATCTCCATCCTTAGAGGTTTTTAAGGCCTGGCTTGACAAAGCCCTGGCTGGGATGATTTAGTTGGGGATTGGTCCTGCTTTGAGCAGGGGGTTGGACTAGATGACCTCCTGAGGTCCCTTCCAACCCTGATATTCTATGATTCTATGAATCGTGATGATTATATCTGCCAATTCCAAGGCCACAAGGGACCACTGTGATCATGTAGCCTGACCTCCTGTGTAATACAGGCCATGAAACTGCCCCAAAATAATTCCTGGAGCAGAGTTTTTAGAAAAACATCCAGTCTGTATTTAAATACTGTCAATGATGGAAAATCTACCACGACCCTTGGTAACTGTTCAATGGTTAATTACTCTCACTTTCAAAAATGTACCTTTATTTCCAGACTGAACTGGTCTAACTTCAACTTCCAGCCACTGGATCGTGTTATACGTCTCTCTGCTAGACTGAAGAGCCCATTATCAAATATTTGTGTCCCACGCAGATACTTATAGACTGTGATCAAGTCACCCCTGGACCTTCTCTTTGTTAAGCTAAACAGATAGTCTCAAAGAGCTCTATCATTGTAAGGCAGGTTTTTTAACCCTTCAATCATTCCCATGGCTCTTCTCTGAACCCTCTCCCATTTATCAACATCTGTCTTGCATTGTAGGCACCAGAACCGGACACAGGATTCCAGCAGTGGTCACGCCAGTGTCAAACACAGAGGTAAAATAGTCTTCTACTCAAGGTTCCTGTTTATGCATCCTAAGATCACATTAGCTCTTTTGGCCACAGCGTCACATTGGATCTCAGGTTTAGTGGATTATTCTCCACAGCCTCCAAAATCTTTCTCAGCGTCACTGCTTCCCAGGATAGTCTCCCATCCTGTATACACTTAGCTGTATTAAACCACATTTTTTTGCTTGTGCCCAGTTTACCATGCAATCCAGATCGCTCTGAAGCAGTGACTCATTCCCTTCATTATTTACCACGCCCCCATTTTGAAAAATGTTAAATAGCACAGAGCCAAGAACCAATCCCTGTGGGACTCCACTGGAAATATACCAGCCTGATGATGATTCCCCATTTATAGTTACATTTTGAGACCTATCCGTTAGCCAATTTTTAATCCATTTAATGGGTGCACCATGTTAACTTTATATCACTGTGGGTTTTTTAAATTGAAATGTCATGTGGTACCAAGTCAAATGCCCCACAGAAGTCTAAGTATATTATGTCAACGCTATTGCCTTTATCAATCAAGTTTGTCATCTCATCCAAAAAAAAAAAAAATCAAGTGTGATAGGATCTGCTTTCCATAAACTCTTGATGACTAGCATTAATTACATTACCCTCCTTTAATTCTTTATTAATTCAGTCCTGTATCAGCTATCTCATTATCTTTCCTGGGATTGATGGCCAATAATTACCCGAATCATCCCATTTACCTTTTTTAAAAATTGGCACAACATTAGCTTTCTTCAAGTGTTATGGAATTTCCTTAGTGCTTCAAGTTTTACTGAAGATCAACATTAATGGTCCAGCAACAGCCTCCCCAGCTCTTTTAAAACTCTTGGATGCAAGTTCTCTGGACTTGCTGATTTAAAAATGACTTATTTTAGTAGTGTCTGTTTAATATCCTCCAGAGATACTAATGGAACGGAAAGAGTGTTATCATCACCCTGTGATGAGATTATATCATCATCTGTTTTTTCCCCCAAACACTGAACAGAAATATTTATTGAACACTTCTGCCTTTTCTGCATTATTATTGATAATTCTAGCATTTCCATCTAGCAATGGCCCAACACCATTGTCAGGATTCTTTTTGTTCCTATTATATTTTAAACACTCCTTCTTATTGTCCTTAACTCGACTGGCCCTAGATTTCTCCTTGTGTTCCTTGACTTCCCTTATCAATTTTCCACAATTCCTAACGTCTGATTTATATCATGGCTATCAACTTCACCTTTCTTTTATTATTCTTTCACTCTATCTGGAGGCAGGACATTCTCCTCCCTGCTCTAATGGTGGCCAAGTCTGTTGACCCTTTAGGGCATGGTCTAAAGCTGCTCTGCTGTATTTAGGTTCTTACGTGGCACTCATCCCTGTGGGATCTAAGTCCTGATTTTCTCAGCCTTTTCTCGGAAGGGAGGTGATTTCAGGGTATGTATATAGACCAGGTGAGAAGTTAGTTTTTTTGCCATTACCCATTAAGACCTGATCCAGAGATCAATGGGTAGACACCTAATAGTAGGTCACAGGCTTGCCTGGGCCAACGAAATGTCTCATGAAGTGAGTGCGCCCTGATTTCACAGCTGTAAATTGATACTTAAATCAAAATTCCCAAACACAAAACAGCCCTTTGCTGACTTAACCAAAAGGTGCAGTCAGAGAT